ATATACTCAGCGGTTTAACATAACCATAAGAAACATAAACATTTTCCTAAACTGTGGGGAAAATGACCTCTTGTTATGATAAGTTATGATAGAAACTTATGAAGTAGTAATTTTTAAGTTTTCATGAATTTTGTGAAATGTACCATACTAGTCTATTTATATTAATATGGTGAATATTGTTTCCAAACCATGACAATCCTACGTGTGTGGTAAAACTATTGAATCGTTAAAAAAAACTGACTATTCCATATTGTATGCGTGTACATAAATTACCGCTTTATATCCATGGTTAACAAAAAATTACCACCGAACTTGGACAATTCAGCACTTCCGATGCTTCTAAGCACAGTCTACTATCCGTTCACTGTAATTACTCAACGATAAAAAGCTCCCTTTGTTCCATTTGCGCGCGAGTGGCAAATTTGGCATGGATCGAAATTTGCATTACTTACAGACTATTAGACCGCCCCGGCTGAACTGGCGGTATTAACTCAGCCAAATCAGTCCGACCCTACCCCTGGACCCTACATACAGGCGTACCAACAGAGTTAGTACAGCTGAATGGACTGTACGGGAAACGGGTAGTGAACTTAATCATGGTTAGCTTTAACTTAGGGGAACGTATTATGGACATGAGAATATATTTTTTGTTTGTCCAGTCATGCACTTCAACAGTTTACAGCCTGAGGCATTTCGAAGCTATCGATTACGTTTTATACGATCAATGGTGTTTGTATACCTTACGTATAAATACATTTAAAAAATAGAGGCATATTTTTTTGCCACTTTGTAATTAATTATTTAAGGCAAACTATGAAATAACAAAATTTTAATACAATCACAATACTAGTTTTCAGATAACAACAAAGGTTTCATATCAGTGTACTGAAATGAGTTAAGAACGAAATATATTTTATACCATGATTGTATTAAAATATGTTTCAAAAACCCTAAAGAAGAATAGGTTAAATCACGAAATAAACATCAAGGCTCATGTATGCACGTTGCTTCACCCTTTCTTATAATCGTTGTATTTGAAAACTCTAAAATTGTACCACAATTCCGAGGAGATTCAGTTTTAATTATGCTGAAATTGTATTGTTTGTGTGTCTATTAATGTAAACTTACGTAAAAAGGGGTATCCACCCTTAAGTTACAGGTCGTCAGTGTCCAGTTGTCATGCAGTATGTGGCCGGTATTTTTTCACCAGATCATTCTACCAGTTAGACTATTTTTATGGAAATAGTTTCAATATTTTATGCATATAAATCGACCGTATAACTTGGAATAAAACAGCAAAGAAACTAGCTTCATTGCATCAGTAACAAATAATCCAATTGTGATTCCTTCGTTTTATACCAATCATTCTTATTCCTATATTTTTATTACTGTTTTATCGTCATATATATTTCTTCTTCTTTTCCTTCCCTTCAACCACTTCTCCGTTTCATCCCAGAAACTTAAAGAGATAATCCTCAAACCTTAACCACCGAGGCAAATAACAGGTCATAATCTACCATCCGAAATATGATTCCAAAAGGAAAATTACTCCCTACTACAAGCGCTCAAAGGCTTAAAATTGAAGCCTAATTTCCAAAAGGGTAAACTTTAGCTAGAACGAATCCAGTTTTACGAACAATTATTCATCCGCGTTCTTCAAACGCCCCCTTTTAATTGCGTCCCCCCTTCTCCCTGCTGCCCCCTCCCCCCTCCATTAATGCCATTATTGTGACGTCATCTGCCTGCATTACCATTTCGCTTGATTCAGTTATCTACCGCCACCCCGTGAATTAAAAACGCGGCAAGAAAATTCACTGAAAGATTTATCATTCCAGGCAAATTAATAACATGAAGGGCTCCAAGAATGATAGTAAGAGACGGGTGCTGATGATAATTTTACTAAATGTTAACAATAAGTAAAAACAAATTTCATAAAAATTTTTAAATTTTTTTTTCTGTAACCTATATTTTTTTATTTTTGTTTGTAACCTAAAATAAAACAAGGTACTATATGGGATTAAGCAAGGAAATGCATTAGATTTGAGTACCAAGGTGTTAAAATGTATAATTTCTTGCCTGCATCCATCAAAAACCTGTGTGTTTTAAAGTTCAAACAAGTTTTAAAAACTACTCTAACCCAGGCTTGCCTTTACAAACATGAAGAGTACTTTGGTTTAGAGTTTTAGTTATTTTAGTTCGCCAGAGCCATCTTGATTGTTTGTTTTTCTTTTGACGATTGTCATGAACTTTGTAACATAGTTTTAACGACAATAAATAATTTAATTTCATTTCATATCTAATATTTTCGTATTTGATGCTTTGACACAAGTATCTATCGCTAACCGTGAAAATGCCTCATGACCTACTTGCCACTACGAGTAAATGGAAATTATTCTCTCTGAAGTGGGTAAAACATGAAATCTTAAGAGAGGTGGGAAATCCCAGATAAACAGAAAACACTTGTATTTATCTGAATCATTGTGTTCTTGTAGTGGATGCGTTTAAGATGATCACATTGGCAGTGATTTTGTTCTTGCCATATCATGTGTATGTAAGTATTGCTTATTATTGTATTTTAGCAGTTGAAACATTCTGTCTTGTAAAAATAATGTCTTAAATGCATAGCATTGCTGGTACAATAATTGGTGACAAGGATATGACTGGTTTAAAATGCATTTTTAATTGTTGGTTTGCAGTAAAAAATGACGAAATATTACTTGAAAAGTAAAGCTTACTGATAATATCCCATTCTTCTTTAGGGGTAAAGAAACACTATTATAAACAAATTTGCTAATAATTTTTTACGACTGCAGTTCGTTTGTGGGATGCCAAATGCTCATAAGTTTATATTTCCCAGCCAAGAGTAGCCTAAATTGAAAACATTTGCAAAATAATTTTAATGCTGGTAAAAGTTGAATTAGAAGTTAAATCTAAGTCTAAAAGCTTCTGTGTCCCTGGTAATAATTTCGGCGGAACTCTAAGTAACCGAAAATGGATACTGAAGTAAAATCCCATTATGACAAGCTTTCTGTTTCTGATTGAAAGAGGACTTCGTTACTTTAGCCATTTAAACATTTTCCTGTTGTCGAAACTAACTTTGAATTTTCAAAACTATTATATTTAATGTGGAATAAATTAAGCTACAATTTGTAATCGGGTGTCCCTTCAGTTAGACTGCATCATCCCAATCCAATGACTCAACACACAATAAAACTCATTTGGTGACCAAATGTCTTAAATGTGTTTGTTCCCATTTTCAACATAACCGTAGATTAAACACACAGCAACAAAGAATTATCATCCTTCTGGATCAGAAGATATGTAACAAGATAATGATTATCTTGGCTATAATTATTATTATGGCTATTCCAGTCTGATTTATGTACGAGTAGATGGTGTTTTGCTATTGCGATTTGTTTCTACTCAACCAACTTTAATACTATTTTAACTGAACATAACAAAACATGTGTGATTTATTGTTTAATATTTGCATTTTAAAAAAACCCCCGCCGCAGCAAACCTGCAGACTAAGCGAATTTCCATTTGACTGATTTGATTTACACTGAAATGTCTACTTAAAAATATAACATTTATTCCCAATTTAAATAGAATTAGTTTAACAAGTACTTAGGTTTGCTGCATCAGGGAGGGTAAAACTGCTATTTTTGTAAAATGTTAATAGTTAGTAAGAAATTAAAACGTTTTCCAAATTTGATCAAAATATGTTCATAAACAAGCAAACTACAACCTAGTTTACTTATTCTCCATAAGAATAACATGGGAATTTTAAATTTAAAATTTTTTTGAATTTTCTCCGTAACCATTAGACGCATAATAACGCTTCAATATACTAAATTATTTGTTTTTTTAAGCTCTACAAAATGGTTTTGAAAGAAATTGCTAAATTTTATGTTTTTTGGGTCAAAAATGGGAAAAACCTATTTTTACCCCATAAAACCCCCCGTAAACCCCCGTTCCCATGGTCCGATCATGCTGGATCGCGAACTCGTTCGAATAAACGTAGGTTTACACGTTTGTACCAAATTTAATCAAAATCGGATCATTTTTGCTCGAGTTATCGTGTTAACGGCCCCCTTATATATATATATATATAAATATATATATGAATTTGAACGGATGGTGTTTTTGGCCTCTAGGGACCTCAAAACGAAAAAAAAAATCGGTCCCGCGTCCAGGTCTTACCATGAGTACTACGGTAATAGCTTATTCCCTATATGGGAAATTCGCTAAAAGAGTAAGACACAATTCGTACAATATACTTGAAAAAAGTACGTAATGATGTACTCAAACATCACTAACACAAAACAGGTTTAAGATTTAACAATAGTATAAGAAGTCTACTCGCTCTACACAATCCTGATAACCATGTGCATGTACCCTTAGACACAGAAAACATACTATTATAACCCAGAATGCCCCTTAGATCATTACTTTTCGGTAGTGATTAGATTGAAATAGCCGTTAAGACTTGCATTTTAAGGGTACTTATTTTAAGGCGAATGTGAGTGAACGCTGCGTGTTAAATGGAGTGATAGCTTTGTCACAGACTAAGATTAGCTAATTCATGTTTGTAGCCCTGAACTGTTGGACGTAATGTAAGACTAAATTACGCAATCCTGTCACAGCTCAACAAATTGAATCTGACGATGGTGTTTTAACACCGAAACATGTCCTTATTTGACCAAATTTGTTGAGCTGTGACGGGATTACGTAATTTAGTCTTACATTAAGATTAGCTGTTTAGACGATTGAAAACAAGGTCAAAAGTTAAGGTTCATTTCAGGTTCAGTTAAGTCAAACTAGTTCATCGAGAAGATAACACGTGTATGTAGATCTAAACCAACTAACCTCCAGCTACCGGAGAATGGGAATAGATGCCCTCTGGTGTAAGCCGCCGGGAGACACATACGGTAGATTCTAAATACGGCGGCTGTATATTATGCGAGGTTTAATAATAAAAGCACAATTTATTTGTCTAGGGAGGTCCTTGGATGGGCAAACCACGACCCTTGGCACACCCCGAGGTAGACGAGGTACAATACAACCTCCACCAGCGGCTGCTGAACCTGGAGCCCGTGGTACTGCAGCACTCCCTGCGCGTGTCCAAGATGGCCCAGTGGACTACGGAGGAGAGCTACCGCAAGACGTACGAAGCTGCTGGGAGGATAGACTCCTTGGCTGAAGACCTGGACAAGCTCGCCAAACATGTCCGTCCGGTAGCTCCTAACTGCGTCGACTTCAAGAGGCTCAAGAAGGCAAAGCAGTATTTCGAAAAAAGTAAGTGATTTTTTTGAAAAACATGGACTATATTTTTGTTTAAGGTTTGCAGAATTTTTTTGACTATTCTCAGCGATGTCATAATTTATATTGGCACATTAATATTAATTATATATTCAAATCGTTTCAGCCTCAGAAGACATGTACGTTTGCACTCACTCGCTCAGCGACATCGCGGCCTCCTTCGAGGTAGAGATGACGGAGAAGATAGTCGCCGCCAGAGCTCAGATCATGGACATCAAACAAGCAATGTGGTTCTGCCAAAAATACCAACCGGAGGTATGTATTTACCATTTCTGATGTGGTTATATTTAAAATATTCGTGAATTGTGCGGCGTTATAAAAGATCGTATATAGAAATATTTTTTTAACATATCTGGTCTTCTTGATGTGTAGGCCTATAAATGTCTGGAAATAGTTATTTGTGCAACTAGTGAGAAAAGTGAGCAATTGACTCACTCGAGAGAAATCCTTACTCACGAGCCGTAGGCGAGTGAGGAATGGTTTCTCGAGTGAGGCAATTGTACTTTGAACTCGAGTTGCACATTATACTTTTCCTACAGTTACCATAAAACAAATAAATTGGTCTTATGTTTCTTCAAACATAACCTATTTTTACACAGAAGTGAACTTTTAATATAACATTTAATGTGAAGTGACAAATACAACAGTACAACAGCTGACCAGCTGATTTACAGCCAGTGCTGCCAACGTACTTCGCGCGCATACGACGTTGCCTGCATGTTACGCGCTCACTATTTCGTGCCTTCACGTTGCAAATCTGGAGTGAGACAAAGTAATTAGAGTGAGACAATGTTAACATTGTCTCACTGATGAGCGAATTGGCCACTTTGCTTTCTCAAATCAGTGAGAGAACATGTACATTGTTAGGTAACTGTAGGAAAAGCTTATAACATCAAGTTGATTTTGCTGGTCCATGGAGACAGCTAGCTATAGCACATTCTGTGAATAATTATGCTAAGTCCTTGAGAGCAAGGTATCGTACGTAAGTATGACAGTGATGTTAAAGAAATTAGATTTTGGTTGCCATAAGATCTTTTGTAGGTATCTTACCTTATATTATATTTGGGAAGTGTAACAATAAATTAATTTTAACCTTTCAATGGTTATAAATTGATGAAAGATCATACATACTTATTTAAATTGCAGAAGACTGTATATGTGAATCTATATATCTAATTCCGTAAGCCCAAAATTTTACAATGAAATTGTGAGTGAACGGGAGGCCGTAAAAAGCTGGGAGAGGTCTCATTTTAAAGGCCTGGGCATGAAATTTTGGGGAAAAATATTCATTTTTCTTAATTATGTACCAAAAGGTTGCTACAGATTAAAATAATTCACATTTAAATAGCATTGGAATCTAATGTTATGTCTTTTTATTTAGTGTAAACACAGCTGTGATTATATAAATTTAAAAAAATATAACCACCCCTGAATGTGCATTATTTTGTTATTGTAAAATTGTTAGTGAAGTAGTAAACAACACAAAGTGAAAATTAGATAAAATCTGTTGAACAAACAATTTGATGCTTTTAAACTGAATACTTTACAATGGATTGTTCTTTTGCACAGTAATAATGTATAATGTCGGAAGACCACCACGCAGAGGAATTGTTCCTCAAAATGAGAACAGGCGCCAGATTTGGCACGATATTAATGGAAGAAGAATAAATGAGCATCGAATGAACATGAATTTATTCCTGTGTATAGATTACCACTTTTAAATGAGATTGCATTACACAGCGTAGAACCAATGAACGAAGGGTGCATTCATTGTGGTACATTGCGCAATTTGATTTGGTGAAATTGTGGCGCAAGGCCGAACCTTCACAAAAGTTGGCATTTATTTGAAAAAACCAGTGTTCAACCATGGTCAACTTATGTTGCTTTTTGATTTGCAAAGAGGCCAGATGATGTTAATAGTACTAGAACCAAATAAAGACCAAGGAATAGACCAAAATGGATACTATACGACAAATGTTGTTTCAGAGAGATTTTGTTATAGCATTTTACAATTTGGATGATGACATTATCTCTATGTGTTTTTCTAAGTGGATTTGTCTATATTTAAAGAAATCTATATATATTTAATTAATAGTCATGAAGACAATTATTGGAAAATGTTCCATAGTTGTATTATGATTAGAAAGTATATATTATAAACACACCGCATGTCCTTTGGAATTTTTCTTTTAAACAGAGTAGACATCAAAATGCATTACTTATGCAGGTATGTAATAACTATTATACATATCATAATATGCAAAAATGTTAAATTATAATTCAAGGTAGGGTAACCCATGAGGCTTATAATTTGTACCAAATCAAATATTTACTAGAATATAGGGGCTATTGCCCCTACAAGCCACTAGTATTTTATAATGCTACTTAACACACAGCACATTTTGGATATAACGATTGAACACCTTATGAAAGTCTATTTTGAAAATATATTTAACCTGAAGCACTTATCTCTATAGAGTCCTATAGGAATTATTTATAGAACTCAAACTACGGAACAATTTTATAATAGTTAAAAATTACCAGACAAATCCTTTCCTCCCTCCTTTACACCGTAATATCAAGGGAGCAAACCCAAACCTTAATTTTGAATCTCCAAAAAACCTACTTAACCATTAAGTTATTGCACATAATTTGATCCATCCTATTTTAAATTCACTTCAAAGCCATTAAGCATAGGTTCAACACTCTCCAACAAACTATAGCATACTTTTGTTTAACAAATTATTAGCCTGAGACTCAAATCTGTCCCCAGATTGACCAAGAGTGTCTACAACGTCTAAACAGAGAGGGTGAGCTGGTCTTGGCTAAGCTGCCAGAGAGAGCGCGCATGGTGGAGGACAAGGCCAGGGCTGCGCGGATGATGGCTCTGGAGAAACAGGAGGATTGTCTGGTCGAGGCCATCAGCGCGGCGGAGGAATGTCACCTCGAGGAGACCGAGGCAATCACGGAGTGCTACCAGAAGTCTCAGGAAGTGGAAAGCGAGAGTCAAAAATGAGAGTTTGGGAGTGGCGAATTCTTAGATAGGGTTTGGGATTGTTGGAAAGCAGAGTCGGAAACTGATGATGCAAGGTAGGGATCGATGGGAAGATTTCTGAAGTTCAGAGTCTTTAGAGGGATTAAATATAATGAGGTAAATTAACTACACCACTATCAAGAAGTTTACCAATTCTATGACACCAAGTTTGTATGTAGAAATAATTCTGAAATTATTCTGAAAAATACAATGAGTCTCAAAATATAAGGGAAAACGTGCCGTATCCAAAAGCCAATGGTCTCGGGATTGGTGACAAACTGTAGTGTATTGTACAGTTACTTATACAATGAATCTCAGGAGGGGAATGCAAAAATATGGTGCAAGGCTTGCTTTAGTAGAGTAAAATGATTAGTCGAAAGGTTTGGATTGAGAGTGAGAAAACGTCAGAAGATTTCTTGAAAATGTGCGGGTGTGTAGTGAACAGCGGGAAAATCTTGTAGAATTCACAAGTATCCATGATCGGGAATGCTTTCTCAAACGTTACGTTTATCTTTTCAGCTAAATATCCCAATATGAATGGATTTCCTGCTAATATCGTGTGTGTATGACTGATAGATGCTATGGTGTCATGTCATGATGACATATAATGACTAAGTTATGACTCCTGATTGTGTGCACAAATCAGTTGGAATATTTATATGTATAGCGACTAGAACTAGAAAATATATAACTTTAAATTGTGTGGTTTCATTGTTTGATTCTATTATGTGAGATAAAAGTGACCATTTAAAAACAAATAAACGTGTAAAATGCTTTAATGAGGTTGATTCTATGAGTGGGTCTGGTACTATTGTAAGCAATGTAGCATAATTTGTTCACGATGTAAGGTTTGTTCACGTTTTTTTTCTTGAAGGAATGGTAAACACATTCTCCACATTATTTAACTACAGTCTCTATCTAAAATATAAATGAGGTATAATTAGTGGTACTATCTGTTGGTCACATCAGCTTTGTCTATTTTTTCTCATGGGGTCTGCGTTGCGATGATGGGTAAGTCCATAAGTATTTTATAATTTTTAATTGAGTATATTTCAATGCACGAAATGACACAAACTGATTGAGCCAAACAACTAATCACCAACAATCCGTTGTCAACCAAAGTTTGCCAACTGTTACACCTACTTCTGAACAATCACCACCTGAGGTCCCCAGTGTTGCCAACTATTGATTGCACAGTCACTAATTGTCAAATCTATGTCTTGCAGTTTGTGGAAGAAATAATATCAATATATTATTGTCAACTGAATCATCGCTCTTGACAACTTGAGGCTCTTGATGCGTTCCTTCTCTGATAAATCATTTACGTATCCTTCTGTACTTCCAAACTAGGAAAACTTTAAGCGATGAACACGTAATTAGCATCGGCACCCAAATAATCGATTGAATATACTACGAATGATATGCTTTAGGCAGGTCGTTACTTCACTTATATAGCCTATAATGATGTCGTTTTGATATAGTGTTTGTTATTGGGTTACTAGATATAAACAAATTTAAATCTGTTAGGCTTCAACAAAACTATTTGGATCAGAGGATTTCCTATTTGTATGACGCTACACAAGAAAGATCCAGATAAAATGAATAGTTGTTGAGAGCAAAGCATCAAAAATGTAGTTCTGGAAAGAGAATTTTGGATACCAAGTGTAGGTACATTAAAGGCTGGATTCAGATTCGGGAAAGGTATACTTTTCAAGATTTTGTCTAGACGCTGTAGTTTACCATAACGAATACTTACCAGCGTATGGCTGGCTGTAGTCTTTGTCCGGGCTACAGTAGAGTTTCCCTGTAGCCTCCTCGCCAGGCTCTAGGTAAGCCTTGGAGTCCTTGGGGTCACTGTACTGGTCGAGGATCTCTACCTGTAACATCATTGAGTTTTGTCTCAAAGCATAGTCTAGTACGGCCATGGCTGGCTGTAGTCTTTGTCTGGGCTACAGTAGAGTTTCCCAGTAGCCTCCTCGCCAGGCTCTAGGTAAGCCTTGGAGTCCTTGGGGTCACTGTACTGGTCGAGGATCTCTACCTGTAACATCATTGAGTTTTGTCTCAAAGCATAGCCTACTAGCATATACAACAGGTGCATGCACATAACACCAGGCGCAAAATCACATTAATGTTCCCTATTGTAGGCTCAGCAAGATAAAAGATGCCTTCCCAGGCGTGGCCCTCAAACTCTTTAATAAGTTGCCGGATACAGTGAAGGATTTGAATCTCAAACTATTTCCAGTCAGGTTTAAGTGTTTGTTGAAAGCTAGGCCATATTATACACTAACTAATGGAGTTATTTGAGGACAACCTCACAAACATTTCAAATCTACCACCATTCAAGTTTTTAAAGTTTTAAAATCTAAAAGTACCCTTAAGCCTTAAAGTAAAAGTAGCACTTAGGTAAAAGTACCCTGGCACTTGGCGTAAAAAAAATTTAGGTATAAAATTCAAATCCACGACTAAGAACCATTATTTTCTACCGATTCCATATAAAAAACCCCACACGACACAAATAAACAACATATAACCCAATTTTGTCGTCCGAAAACAAAACACACCCAAATAAATCTTTGGAGGGTAAATTTTTATTTAATTCGCAGCTTGACGGAGTTGCATATTATATTATGAATATTATATGATCAAAAAACAATCGTCCAACATTGCATATTACAGTACTAAAATTAAAACAACCCTTTTTGGTGTTCTCAATGTAGTCAGAGCGAGCTAATCAATCGAATAGAAGCCCCAAAACTCCCCGTCGTGATTCCTAATCAAACCACAACCGGACGTTGAAAATAGGGGACGAAGGATCATGTTACTATGTGGCGAATTTAGTTATATAACTTGAAAAAAGTCAAATGAAATAATTACGGTTTGTTTGGGTACAGAAACTAGTTAGTTAAAGTAAGTTAGTAAACTAATTAGTTAAAAGAAGTCAACAGAAGTAGTTTTTGTTAATGGTTGATGTGTTTGTTTTGTTGATTTGATTTTGTTATCAAAGTACGAGGTAAAAATAAAAGTAAGGTAGAAGAAAAATCATAATATTGTTCAACATGATCACGCCCTCCTACGTTATTCAAATCACGTTTATCTCCGCCTAGCTGCAAAAAACGAGGTATGAACAAACATCCAGAGAATATATTTAAATTGTCAAAAATTGTTATATAAAAGCAAAAATTATAGATTTAACTTTACTTCATCATAAGAAATGACACAGGTGTCCTGTTTTACTTAATTGATTATGTAAATTATTAAATTAGCTGAGTCAAATTGAATAAGCTATGTTGTTTATTTGTCAGTCACTTCACTTCAGATTTTCAAACTCTATACATAGTTTCTCTTCAAGGTATTATATGTTTAAACACTTCATATTGCACAGTTTCTTTTAGAAGATCACTATATAATATATAAATCTCGCTCGTATTAAGTAATATCATTGACTATATATATATGTAGGTATATATAGTCAATGGTAATATCGGGCCAAACATGGCTGAAGGAGCAATTCCGTGTATTTCTCAGCCCTAATCTCATGACGCCAATATTATGGTCCCTACAATGGCTGCGGAATGTTGTACCCCATCTGAGGCTCTGGCATTCCACAGAGTAGGAACTCTGGGAAATGTTCACCATAACACATTACACGAGGTGATCAATCCTTTGTTCGGACTTACATAGAGTATTAACTTGCAATTACCAGCCATGAAACTCCTTCTGAACATGAGACAAACAATAAAGACTTGAGTTTTTAAAAAGAAATTTAAGTGTTTCAGTCAAACAAATCAGCAGGATATATCAACTCAATGTTTTCCGAAAACCTAATACAGGGTTTTAAAAAGTAATTAAACTACGAAACAAACCATTAATAACCAAACTGTAGTTCAAAGTGACTTACTCCTAAGACGTTATAGAGGGATAACAGAAGGGTTATTAACAACCAAACCGCATATAGGTTTTGGGGCTTTAATTGCAACTATAATTGAGCAATAAAGCTCAAGGGTAAACCAGGTTTATTGGAGTAGAGAGTGGAAGGGGGGGTAATACCTCATGGGGATTTACTTAATGCAAGGCTTACGCTTCCCCCATGTGAATAGGAAGAGCAAAAAGTGTTAATGCATGATAAAAAGTAGTACCAACCAAATATCACAAATTTATCGTTTTATCAAAATGTTTAGTTACTGTATTATTTTTTTCGATAAATATCCATTTTGCCAATGGTCTGTACTCAGTAGTCTATAAATAAAGGGAGAAAAGTTTAAAGCTTATATTGGGGAAACAGGGATATTGCGGGAAATTGTTACCATTTAAATTCGGTTTAGCTAGCATTTTGTAATATTAAGAGAGCTCTAAATTCGAAAAGTATTAATCATTACTATATAAAGATATCATAGGATTTCATCCAGCATAAGTATAACAATATTATGGTAACACAGGACAAATAAATATTGTAAAAACGGCATTTGATGTATTTTGGAAATTTTCAATTTTTTATTTTAAATGTTTTATGATTGAGGATGGTATTAAATTACAAGACGAATTTAAGTAGGATATATAATACGCATATAATTTAAGAAAGTAAATACATAGAAAATGTGTAGTAAATAATCCTAGTTACTAATGTGTGGTGGTAACTAATAGGACACAATACTGAGACGAAAACAATATTTAATTATAAAACTTTGTTCATTTATCATGTGTGGGAAAACGTTGGTTTTCCATCCCGTCACTACAAATGTTGAGTGGAGAGTGTATAAATAAATGTTTCTAAAGTGGTAAGTAGACATATAGTATTCTGACCAACCCTTGCTAACCCTCCATGTATAACCCTTGAACACTGCTGAATTAATAATACCTTGGCCGGTAGCCACATTTATTACCCCGTCCAAACTGAATTGATTTTAATTACGAATAGGAGTATTAAACGTTTGACTAAATACTAAATACATTTCAGTGATCGAGTTACTCCATTCCCACATTAAAGGTTTAGTCAGTTTTAGAATAGTAATAAATTCAATTTTAATTAGGCCTGTGACAGAGTCTTTTGTTGTAAAAGGATGTCAAATTTCTTATAAAACTACTTAATAACAGAGAAAATTTGCAAAATACTTGTATCTGTTAGTGTACAATAAGTCTATACTAGTGGTCGTCCTGTGGTCGAAACTCGACCAAAAATAATTAATGTACAGACTTCTCTATTTTCTCCCCACACTGTAAATAAAACATGTGATTGGGATTTCTTCCATTTGTTTTGATTTTCTGTTTACATTTTGTTGTTATTTCGTCACCATCATGGCAACCCAGTTGGTCCATGTAAATTTTTTCCATGTGAAGTTTTCAAATTCGTTTTTTGTGCTTATTTTTTGGACTATTTTAATTTATAAAGGGATTCTGCACATCTACAGGCAAATATCTTTCTAACAGTATGCGTAGATTTCCCCTGCGATGCACACGAGCTGAGAAAAAAGGTTTTAAAGAAACATGCTTGCCTATTAATATATAGATAGATTCCCATTACTATACAATCAAGACATAAACAGAACTTAAATTGAAGGACAGATAAGGTATGATATGCTTATTTAAATACTTTATCTTTGAGTAAAAAGGAAATGTCTACAGTTGGTGCCTATAGTTGAGGTGTCTACTTCTTTATCCAAGTCAATTATATTTCGGTACATCATAACGCATGAAAAATAAATCCGATTACCTTTTTAAACTCCCTCTCTGTAATTAAACGCATTTACCTTCAGTTTCAATCATTATAACGTATTCCATTAAAAATAAAAACAAACATTGCTTAATGTCAAAATGGAACTAATGAATTGAAATAAAATGGTGAAAAGAAGCGACAACAGTAGTTTAAGGTGCCTTCAAAGACGAATGGAAAATATTGAACGAAATAATGGACAGAATTCTTTAAAATTCCAAATCACGCCTGCCTCGATAAGTTTTAATGAACGGGGAGGGACACTTTGGGAATAACAAGTCTGTGAGGTCCACGAGCAGCAAACTTTGGCCTTTAAATATTCACCTTGGAAGTTTATGCGTTAATTACACGCCATAGCTTGCGGAAAATCTGACAAAGAAACACAAAACTTGAGTGGGCAGTAAAACCGCCTGGAGGATAAATTTTTACCTATAATTAAAAGTGAATCTGGATATCAACGTTTTAAAAATCAAATTAAGATCTTGACCATCCATAGCTATTTGCGTAACATGGGGGAATCAGGACATCGAGTGTTTCAATTGTATTTTTATTAATAGTTCATTTCATTTAGTTTATTTTCATTTTCATATATTTCATGTTATTCTATCCCTCCCTATTTGGGGCTACTATAAAATGTATGAATAGGGATGTTTTAAGAATATCCATATTAATTGTCATGATATTAGTAAGTATTGTATTTTATTTATATATAAATTTGAACAGATGGTATTTTTGCCTCTGGGGACATCAAAACAAAAAAGTAAATCGGTCCCAGATCTAGGACTTACTATGAGACTTATGGGCAATAGCTAATTCCATATTGAAAATTCACTAGACGACCTTTGTTAACATTTACTTTCATCAATAAAAAATTTAATCAATTAAAAAAGGCTTAGAACGTTAAAAATTATCCTAAAGCAGTTTTCATTTAGTATGGTGGCTAAGATTACTGAAGCTAAGATAATTCTCTCCTATAACAGCTGAGGTATCTCAAGAGCGATAGTTCAGCAACCAGGTACCATGGGACAAAGATTCCTGGTGCTATTTTAAGGGAGCACGAAGGGAAGACGTTACTCTAGTCTGTGATGTGGCTCTATGGTACAGAAGTGACTCGCTTGGGACGAACCTTCAAATTTGGGGACTACAATGCTACAGGCGGGGTCATTTTACTATTATTATCATTATCAATTGGTGTAGGGACGCCACCTAGGTGCGTATATCATCCTATATATGAGTGAAGGTCATTATGAGTGTGGATTGTATTGAGATGATCAGTGTAGCTTTGTTACTCACTAACAAAAGCTGTTTAGTTAGCCAGGACCATTGATTTAAATCTCAATGAGGACAATAACGTTCTCTACTCAGGAGTGTCTAACTCACCGCGTTGCCATGGAAGCTGTGTAAGGACCAGTCTGGAAGGCCACCGAAGCTAAGAGGACGTCTCTTGTTGACAAAGTCTACAGGAAGACTGTAGTCATCGCACAGAGCAACCTGGAACAATACAATCCTTTGTAAGGTCAAGACAAACTATTGTGTATCTTATGTATTATAGTAATAGCTAAGGTGCTCTCATCACAATTTATACTTCCAAATGTGTTGAGAACAAATAATCTACAATGCACATTACCAACTTCAAATGGATAAGTTTCATCTCCAACTTACACGAGTTTGACACTGAAATAACAGAAGTTAGACGCAGACAGCTTCCTTGAAGGGGGAAATTTATCATAGACAGTTTCCGTGGTTCATAAACTAACACCTTTACATTATATTTGGAACGAGTATTACTTATCCGTGATAAAGAATAGCTTGGAAACAATTTTTTTTTAAACACACGCATTCTAACAATTGGTTCATAATTATTAGATGTTGCCGATACCTCAACTAAGTAGGACAAAACATAAACGTTTGAGAATGTGATTCCGTAGTGAAGATATATCTTTATTGCTTGCTTGAAATTTCTTGAGCGTGTGCTTCAACTTGGCTCGCCATTTATCGGTTGAATTTAAGATCAAACTTGAATTCTGTTTTATATCGTTGAAAATCTTAAAAGAAAACCTATTTAAACGCAAGTGATTGTACTTGAATAACATAAAATGAAAATTTTGTGGAGGAATAAGTTGTTTTTTTTTGGGAAAATTAAAAAAAAACCTAGAGACCAATTTATTAGTTGTTTGTGATAAACTTCAAGTAAAGGTGTAAAACATTCAGTCAACGTTGTAACATATGTACGTTTAACCTGTACAATATGCGTCAAAACATTAAATTCTCCTTAAGGATCTCCTTGAGGTCACTTGCATAAGTTCTGTACAGAACACCATCTAATGTTACACACGACATTTACTGAAATTTACACCGAGTCTGTAGAAATGGTACATAACTTGCTTTACAGCTACCCAATCGTCTTCAAACTAAAGACAAAAGGTGTTCATTGTTCAAATCCAGCCGAGGATAAATCAGGTTAACCTGAGATCTTCTATAATGCAGTGGTAATACATCATGGTACTCTACCTGTGTATGGCAGACACAGCACACTCGGGGGATCTTCCCGTGTGATGTGCTAACTGTTCGGTGATGCATGGTGTGAGGCTGGTCTTATTTACTCAATGTTTAACATAAGAGTTCGGTGTTTGAGTAAAATGTAAATAATTATCGAGAGAACCTATTGAATTCGTGTGATTTATTGTGATAAGGAGACGTGTATGTCTAGTGGAGAGTTTGGGATTTCTGAAGGTTCGAATCCCTCCAAACACCATTTTTGATTTTGTAGTGGCATTGGTCAATGAGATTACCTGAAACTGTATGTCCGTTATGGAAAACAAAAAAAGGAAGTATTTGTGTCAATTAGAACTATATCTGAATTGAAGATAGGCCTAACTCTCTCTACGAACAGCCATACGATTTTTTATTGTGAAAAAGAAGAATGGTACAGTAATATAATATTTTAGTGTATATTGAGCTAATAATTAAAAACAGTGTTATGCACTTAACAGAATATCAAGTCTTACCTCGGATTAGACATACTATCTTAGATATTTCTTATCATGATGGATTAGCTGAATACCATTGTAAGATATCTCTATGTACGGTACATGTTGAGTACGTTCTGTCGTTAAGTTTTTCGTATTATTGCACCAATATTAAAACTATTTGTACTATATTTAGTTGTATTAAACAATTAATTTTTAAAGAACTGCTTGTTCTTTGATATACCAAATAAAGAAACGAAGTGACACTTTAAATTTTAAAAGGAGATTACAATGTAACCAGACATTAACACGAATAAAACTTTGTTACAGTTAAGAATTCTCCATGCAATATCAACAGTCAATGTTTTGACATTTCCAGATACCTAAGAAAACGTTACCTCTTTTCATTTGTAGTTAATTGTTTCGATTTATATATCTATAATGTGATATCCCCTTTTATGGTTTAGTTAGGAGATAATGTGTGAGTACACAAACACTATTGGAAAAGCAATATTTCACAGAAAATGTCTGCAAAGGCTAACAACTACGAGCTTATCTGCATAAAGGCTCTGAGCAGCTAAGAGGTCAATTTGCACATAAATGACTACATTATGGCCTTTCTACCTAAGAAGCTGCTGCAAGAAGGGGTAATTCTGGCGTGTACTAGGATAGAAAACGTTGTAATTAATATTGGGATAATAGTCCAGCTTGTCGGGTTATACCACTTGAATAACTGCAGTTGTCTAGAGGACTCAAGATGTGTGGTTGATGACAAAACCACTTGAACGTAATATCGAGGAAGCCGACACAATACAATTTACCAACACCACTAACCCTATCAGAGGATACGTCTCCTTTGTCTTGAGCGAATTGATTGTAACACTGAATTGATCGTTACTTTGGTTGATATATCGATAATTGAAAACTTATTATTAGTTTGTAACTATTAAATAATAAAAGTAATTTTCATTACTATGTTTCGAAAATATTTCCATACAGCTGATATCTTCAAAAATCGCCAATTTCCATATATAAAAAACAAATAGTGATCAGCTGACTTTTCCTGACATTAACATTACTTTCGCTACACAAACAATACTTTTCCTACAGTCACTATAAAGCATATAAATAATTAGTCTTTCAAACACTATGCAACACGTTTTTAGGTTCAGCTGGCAACACAAATGGTGCCCTAGAGAAAGTAATACCCGCGGTCCATATCACTCCGCTATTTTTCCTCGACAAGAAATGTGCTCCGCGTTTTGAGAATATAGTTCCGTATGTTTTTGTAATTTGAAGTGGTTTCCACACCTAAAAAAAATGCTTAAAAGGTATTTTCTTGTTTATTAATATCGTAGGAAGGTTTTAAAAACGTTTAAAAGAAAAGTCCAGATAGTTCAGAAATACCGAAACTATAAACACGAAATGACAGGTTAAATCGTAGTTATAATAGTCAATCAGCTGCTCATAGTATAATTATCTTTAAGTGTTGCCAACCTATTTCCAAGCGTACACGGATTACGTGCATAATGGAACCACGCTGTTTTGTGTTGTTTCGTTGGAATCCTGATGTGCGGCAAAGTATAAACCGTACGGCAAAGTATAAACCGTACGGCAAAGTATAAATATGCAGCAATTAGCAGCTTTCTGTACTATAAACAGTACAAGGAAGCCAACTTTGTCGGGTGACTGTAGGAAAAATATAATGTGTAACACGAGTGAAAAGGGCCTTTGCTGCACTCGAGATCATTCGACACTCGCCTGCGGCTCGTGCGTAAACATTGCTCTCGTGTGCAGCAAAGTGCCACTTTCACCACTAGTAACACAAATAACTATTGCCTGACATTAACAAAGTTACAATCAGCAGAATTTTACACTGAAATTATTAACTGTGCAGCCGTATTGTGTTTAGATTAGAAAAATGAATAGATTACGAAATATCAGAAACTTTTTAAGTTTGATGTAGTAGTTTTTTTCATTGTGATAAAAAGCATCGTTCAATACACCCATTTCAGGGCGAGATAGTGTTTTACATGCGAGTCGACTAGTAGTGAAATATACTATTTTCTTTTATACGCTAGGAATACGGTCGTTTTAAATCCGTGGGCTAGGGGTAGGCGTGGGACTAAAGTTCTTCTTCTTTAAAAGAATCTACAGTAGTCGAGGCCATTTTTCTTAAATAAATTTACGCAGATTTTGACGTAGAAAATGATTCCGATTGAAAAGTTACCATTAAGTCGTTAAATAGTTGTGTCCATAGTATATTTGACTACTTTTAAATATATCGGCAATTAATAAAAGTGTTTTGTAATCAATTCTTGATTATTTGGCGAAGCAATATCTGTTGCATATAATATATCTAAATTACAAATATATTACATACTCAAAGGGCTTTTATACTTTATAATTTTATACTTTTTTTATGAAATGGCGACCATACATAGTAGGTATTTTAAGCCATGTATGAATGGAGATGAGTGTAGGCTGAGTGGCGCGATCTTGTAGCCTTGTTAGTGACTAAGGCCGACATTCCTTAGACACAGCTGTTAATTAATAGCCCATACAGCTAATGGCAACTAAGGGACCTACAGTTTATAGTGGAATCCGAACCAAATTTTTGCCTTGGTATATACGAATTTGTCTAATTATCAGGATAGCGTTGCGGGTAGTCGTAGTACTCACTTGTGCGGACGTAAATCCACACCAGGGAGTATCGCATCCACAGTGCATGCATATAAATATCCACAATTTGTGACCTCCTAATGGCTGTTCACTTCGGTCATTTGACTTTAATTTCTTTAAAAATAAATCATGTTTCGATCGAGATGATGAACATTTTTCTACCCTACCATATCAGAGTTTTTTAAACATCCAAGTAAGGGAATGGTCCCCAAATTAATTATGGCTACGCTAGAAGCATAGTGCATTACGAATAAACCCTCCTAAACCACATCGGCGCATTAGTGCATCAGTGCAGGCCAACATTTGTGTAGTGGTTTGGTTTGGTAGGGGATGAGAACAATAAACTGATCACAACTGACATCAGGCTGTTGGTTCTAATCACGGACCTGCCGAAGAGTAGTTAGGTGGAGGTTATTCACCAAACCTTACCAGATTATGATAATAATTGATAAAGTAGAACTTTATGTTCCCTTTTTATTGAAAATAATGTTGTTTATTATTGATCTTTTTGTTGCGTTGTCGTAAGGCACAACCTTAACGTTTTATAGCTATACTCCTTACAAATGTCTTATGTACCTTTTCAAGAAGTTTTTTTAATTAGCTCAGTTAACAGTTTTAAACCTTTTGTTTGTGTTTAATTTTATGTATGCCAGTATGATTTACGAAGAAAACGAAAGTATCTGGTTTCAATAGGACATTCTGATCTGGATGGATTCAACTGTATCATTTTAATTTCCCGGGGAATTTTGGTTTTCAATTTGTTCCATTTATCTACAAAGGAAGGAAGATCAGTTGGAATGGGATAAAACTAATGTGTCTCGATGCCTTTGCTAAAAAATA